AAAATAGAGTCGAAAAGACGAAAAAAAATGTCGACTTGAGCGAGTAGCTACTCAGTTTTCTGCTCATCGAGAGTGCTCGGTGCGATGAGCACTGAGTTATAAGGAGTAAATTGTAGGTCAAGTAAAATTGCAATGTATAGATCCCTAGGGGCTCGGAACATGAAAAAAAAAATCAAAATAAACAAAGTTTTGACAATTTTGTATGAATGTGGTGTATAAATGGAAAATATTGAGAATATTTTGAATATTTCTCATATTTACGTAATTATTTGTCATTATTCAGCTCGTATATGGCACCGATGTAAAACACACACAACACAAAATAAAATTAATAGTTGTTGTTTTTATTATATAAAAAGAGATTTCAGCCTAAAAAACTTATATTTCTTTGATAAAAAAATAATTTGACTGAAGAACATCAAAAATATATAGGTAAAAGTGTCTGATTTTATAAATAACATTCCACAAAATGACATACATCATTTGCCGCCATTTTCATATTCACGATAATCAAAATATTGGGAATATTCATGATTATTCACAGTATTGTTCACACTCAAAATGTACCAATATTCGTGAATATGGTGATTATTATTGTTTAAACTCAAAATATATGAATATTTCTGATTATGTGTGTTTTTTCATCAATAAAAAATACTTCCGAGCCCCTAGATAGATCCTATAGGTAATTTTTCACGAAGAATCTGAATATGGATCGAATATGGACCCGATTTCGGGGGATTATTCGAATTTCGTGAATTTTTTAGAGGGATCCCCTTTGAGGGTGCGAATAAAATTAGTTATACATGGCCATACATTTGAGTGCGAAATTCCGGACGCAAAAAATGGAAAATTGGATTTGTAGCATTTGACCTCAATGAATTATTAGGAGACTTGGGGTGAATGGGCACGAGACAATTATCATTTCTAGGGTATTTTGGCATAACATGTGAGTAGAAAGTTTTTAGACTAAATTCAAGCGTACGCTATTTAAATACCAAAGAAGCATTTTGAAAATTTCTCTCAGTGGTAGTTAGATTTATTCATAGTCAATCCAAAAACACATTCCAACTTTCTCTCAATCCATCCAACCAATTGTTGCTCGTTTCAAGTATTTTGGACCTTCGCCTATAACATACATCCAAAACCAGAGGAGAAATAATTAATTTGGTGTCTTTTTGTGAAGTTTAAGAAATAGTCCTTTTTTCATGGAAATGCTATTTTTTAAGAAGTGAGCCATAATTGTGATTTTTTCTGATAGTTCTCAACGAATGCCATCGATTACAACCATATTTGGTTGATAATAAAGCAATTAATAGGGGTTTAACCTTACGTTTCAGCACTAAATTTTCGAATAATGGCTCTAAGACACCTTCCAAAGAAGATCATACCATACAAACACCCCTTTTTCAAAGTTCGGTTTGTCGACATCTCTAGCCTCATATAGTAGTGCCCTAACGTTATCAATGCAAAAGAAATCACTTGCACTTCATTCATGGTCCGATTTGGCGATGAATTTTTCACTGTCCAACAAGTTGAATTTTTCAGTGCAACATGCATGAGGTGAAGTAAACACCCAATATTCGCAACTATTCACTATTGTTGAATCCAATCGATCTAAATATAAAAATGTCCAAACGAAAGCGATTCAATAAGGCAGCACAATTTTTCGGAAGAATAGGATGAATCCCATCAGGACTGGCACCTTTCTTTGAGTTGATTTGTAGCAGCTCATCGAAAACGTAAAATTCATTGAGTTTGAGTTGATTCACGTTTGAGTTTGTTTGAGATCGAATTTGTGATAAATTTTGAAATTGGGACGATTGATTGGCGAAGTTATTTTTGAAAAATATTGCAAACATTTCGACTTGCTCCTTTCTGTCCACTAATGATTTGTCTCCTAAATTCAGCAATTTAGGATCGCAGTCGCTATTTTTCTTCGTATTTACAACGAAGAAGTCATTTTGTCGACATAACTGTTGTATAGTTCCGTGTTTAATTTGGTGTAATTATCGAGAGCATGCAAATAATTTGAATTTTCACCAGTTATTTTCGATCGTTTCCACTCCTTGTTCTTTTTGTTATATATACACGAAATATACGAAATCCAGACCTGGAAGGCCTTTGGCCCCGATTGATGTATGGTTGGAAGGTATATGACCCACAGACTAAGAAAAAGCATAGAACTTTGAAAATTGGTCAAGTTGTCTCCAAAATATTTCTAAAAGGGACACAAATCAGTTTACCGACTCAAAACAATGATTCAAAATATGCCCCTTAGATGGTGGGAAATGAGATCGTTGACCCTTAAAACATCAATATTTTGATTCAAGAGACCTTTCCAGCGATACCTTAAACGTTGACATCCATCAATACATTTGTACATTGGAAAAATTCTGCATTTTAAAAAATGCATATAAAATCTCTTTGAATTATCAAATTGTCTGTTAGAGGTGTCAACAAACGTTCGTGTTCGTTTGTATTGGTTCGTGTTCGTCACGAAAACGAACGAACATGAAAAACAATTTTCACTCTGTGGAACGCGTTCGAACGTAGTTGCCTTCTTTACGAACGCAAACGAGCACCAATTTTCATTCTACAAACGAACACGTTTGATCGTAATGATCTTCTTTACGAACGCGAAAGAACACAAATAACAATTTTGACTATGGTTATTTTTTGGTCGATTTTGATGAAACTTCAATGATGTTATTTTTATGACATTTTAATTCCCAACTGATACACTTCTGATTCGGTCAAAAATATATTATATAATGTTGAATTTTTTGGATAAGGAATGATTTTTGTACTCACCTATCAATTAAGTAAAATGTCAAAGTCTGAATTACACAAAACACACCGACACACAAATCAGCGACTGCAAGGTTTGCCAAGAAGAAATTTGTGATTGATCTCAGTCTGCGTGACATTGTTACAACAAGAATAACCAATAAGTTTCCTGGACAGAAAAAAATGTTTTTATTCTCATCAAAAATGCAAGTTCAAAATTGTATATTTTCTTCAAATAATCATTAAAATAAAATATAATCTTCAAAACGGACATAATAATAATTGTAGCTCTTTTTTCTATATTTATTATACACTAAAGACCAAAAGATTTTATAAAATAGACCAATAACCAGATTTTTTGTTCAATATTTAAGTAGAAGTTGAATTGTGAAACAAATATCAATTTTTATCCGTAAAGTCCATTAGCGAGAACAAAATAAGCTTGGTGGTTTTTTCGGGCGTACTTTCCACTAAAGCTATTCCTCGTTTGGCAATGGAAATGAATACCTCGAAAATGGCAGTTTTTGAAGAAATGATTGAAAAAATCAAAGATATCGCTGATATTGAAAGATTGTGTTATTTAAGTGAAAAGTCTAAAATAAGCAGCTGACATCATTATATCACTCCAACATTTAGCCAAGAAAAATGCACTCAAACAATGGCTCAAAGTGAATGTTTTTATTGATTGTTATCTCACAAAACCTATACAATGCATTTGAATCAGTGATGTCTACGAACGCACTCGTATAAAAACTGTTCGTTCGTAGAAACATTTTTTTTCGAAGTCACCAATTTAGATTTTTGTGTGGAAAACGATGTGAAATTTGGCACAGATTTCGAAAAAAATATATTTTAAGAATTTGTATGTATGTTCGTAGTAATTTAATCACCATAAATTAACTTATTACAAGATTATTGTGAATTATATATTCTTACCAAAGTAAATAATTTCATTAAATAAATTCAAAGAAATTTCAATCAAAATAAAGAGGTTTTCGTACACAAGCTGACTTTTCCGCGTGGATCTCCATTTTGAAAATAAACTGAAACTTTGGTGTATGTATGGTTGCAGTAACTTAAAACACCGTGAAAACTTGTAAATCTTATTTTCTTATGAAAATATTTAATTCCAACAAGGATTGAAGAAATCAAAAATTGGGGGACCTTTCATACAAAATTTTGGACTTTTAACTCAAATTGGAACTTTTTCAAACTTCCAGTATATTATTTGTACATATGTGCTATTATTACGATATCATAAAGGCATGAGTCCAATAAAAAATCAAATAATTTGTTGTTTTTGAATTAAAAGTCTCTCAAATTGAAAAAAGCGCCAGAGACGGAACTAGTCATCTCTATATGGATGGTAGTGTAATGTTTCATGGCTGATGAACTGAATCTGATGATTTAGATCACTCATCCTTGTCGCACATATTGTTATCTCGGACTCGGTTTCTTTGGATCGGACTATGTTCAGTAATGCTATACAAATTGCTATGTGTGTCATAGTATGTGTGAATAATTCTGCCAGATCGAATTGATCCAGAGCACGCAATTTTGCATATAAAAGTGTTCAATTAGCACGAATACCATTGCCACATTCCAAACACTACACCACCTTGCATCTAGTTCACTAGATTATATAAATAATTTCAAATTTGAACGTTAACCACGAACGACAAAATATGATTAAAACAAATTACATAAACACATAAAATTGATTGTAAATGAATGAAATTTGTTGTTTTTGAAAAATATTGAGTAATTTAAATACAATATAAATCAAAGTTAATTTCTTTGATATATTGGTAGGAAACACAAAAAAGGTTAAAAGGTACTGAATTTTTGAGAGGAAAATCATAATTTTTCGAACTGAATCCGTCAGATGCTGACACAATTATATTATATATTTTAAGATGGCTATAGCTATTCATTTGAGGGATTTTTAAGGAGAATATTTAATATTCCAAAAAAATCCCATACAGAGTTACAGAAAAATCAATTAAGAAACACATCATATAACAGAATAGCGAAAAATGAAAACTTTAAAAAATGTTTTGTATGAAATTATGAGCCAACTAAGCAAGACGGTTATCACCATTGAATTTCTTGACCCCGAATTAGGCCAGAATGACTATTTGAATGGGAGCTATCGCGTAACCAAAATGGTGAAAAAATGTATACAGTTGTACTCCTTGTGGTCCCAAAACAGAGAGTAGAGTCAGATTTTGAATTCCGTTGGGGTAAGAATTATCCTGGCATTTTCAATGGATATCCCTATGGATCCACACTTTACACTGTTCAACCAATGTCGCTCATAATTTTACCGTATGGGAGGTTTCACTTTCATTTTTGGTTGACTTTTCATTATACTTTCATGGTGGAAACTGCATTTTTTCATGGTTTTCCAGTAAAATGAATGTGTTAAAAATTTCTTCATTTCTTGAATCTGGGAACTATAAGACATTATTTGCAAAGTGACCATAAAGATATGCCTCGAAATTCAAAAAAATATTTTTCCCAGGCTACACAGCGAGTAACATCAATATGCCCCAAAATCACCTTTCGTGATTTTACATGAAAGTCGTGTTTTTTAAATGGAATATCTATAAAAAACTTGTTTTTGGTGACTTTAAGTTAAAACTTAATCAATTTTAGTTTTTTTCCTTTAATTTTTTCAATTTCTAATTTTTTACGTATTAAGATAATAATAAATTGTATTGAAAAGAAAATTATTCATGCGAAAATGAACAGGTTTCCAATGTTCTTGCATTTTCCCGTCTCTAAGTTAAAACTTTTTTATTATTTATTGAATGACTTTATGATAATTTTATTTATTCAGTCTATGATGAAGACGGTGGAATAAAACTGTGAAAAAATGAATAAATTATTCCGAAACAAATCGTCCGATAGCGACATATAAGGTATCAAGTGTTCCAAGTGAAACACTTTGAATTTGACAGATGAGACAGTGTCGGATATTGTCAGTTTAGGTACTAGAAATTAGAAAACCTCTTTTCTTTCTGCGTACATTGAACGAAATTGCATTCATTTCATTACGTTCATTTCAACGTTGCATTCATTTCATTAACACCTTCATTTAGATATGAATTATTCGAATTAAGAAAAAATTCAAAATCACCAGATTATTATCGAACCATTTGAAGGTTAACTAATTTTATATAAATATCTTTTTTTATTCGAATTGGATTTTTATCTGGGTCAGAATATATTCATGGGACTGTTTTCATTCGATAATGCCCGGCTTTCAAAAATGTTTAAGCTTTTTTACTATGATTGTGAACGCACACGTGCGAATCTATGCAAATTTAAACACACTCTACCAATTGGTGAACTCAAGAGTTTTGAAACTATATTTAATTTTTAAATAAAAAAAAAATTTAATATTGGAAACATGTTAGATGAAGGCAATAAACAATCTTAGATTAAGTTGAAGATGAATTATGTTTTGGTTTACTATTTTCAAGTAATGTATTTTATAAAAACCTATACTCACCGAAAAAGCAACAGCAAAATACTAGGGTATATATAATTGTAAATATTACTCGAACATCGCCTCTATCAAAAACATGATCCTTTTTTAAAAGATCGTCATCTACAGTTATGAAACTGTAGTTATCAAAACTATGTAAGGACACATTCAATCGACCAGTTATATTAAAAAATGGTTCAGATGTTGTATTGAACAGTGTAAAATTCGCATTCGTTGTGTCACCGTTTATTAGTTTTGATGATGACAATAATGATCCGATTGTTAAGGCTTTGATATTTTGATCATTTAATGTTGACATTCTTGGACATAATAGTTCTTTTTCTAATTTTTTTAATGTCGTCTTTTACTTTCAAATCTCATATTATTTATATTAACATTCACTCTTCTTTAATTTTTATTATTATTATAATTTTTATTCAGAGACAAAAGCGTTCCTTGAGCCAGTGTTGAAGTATTCCTTTAAAACTTGATAAGAAAGTTTCTAACATAGAATCTGGAAATGTGTTTGTGGGAATAAAGAAACGAGCTATGAATAACGCACGTTGAAAAAGAAAAACTTCAAAAATGCAATATAGAGTGCAACACAATCAATGATGCGGATTCACTTTTTTAGCGTGCTCTGTTCAAAGTGCGTTTCTATATTTATATTTTATAGTTGGTTGAGAATGTGCGAGAAAAATTTTCATTTGGGGAAAAAAATTCTTATTCAAATCACAGCTGGAATTTCGCACATTACTGGTTCAAACTACAAGAATAATTTTCACAGTAGCCGGCATGTAAAATAAATCAAATAAAAATGTTCATTGATTAAAAGAAAAGTAGAAATTCATTCAAACAAAAATGATCGATTCAAAATCAATTTCACTTAATTTTTGCAATGACTACTTGTGATTCGCCATCGTGGTAATTTACATTCCGTACACCAAACTTTTTAACCGCATTAGCTTTAATTTGAAATAATGTAATTATTTTTCATAATTTCATCCAATTCCTTTTTAATTTTGTTTAATCATCAATTAATTTTTTTAAGGAAATCTATTTAGGAGAATATTTCACTATAATTCCGCTAATGGTGAAATATTAGCCCATTCACATTTTTTACAACTAAAAATGATTTTAACCCTCTAGTGCATAGCCCTGCCTTTAGGCATGGTGTACAAATTATTGTCTAAAATATATAATTAAAAAAAAAAGATTTTATTTATGAATTAAAATACATTCAGTAGGGTTCAGGCTTTCATTTTCCGGTCATTTGACAACTGGATGTAAATCGGTTGTTTATTTATAAACACGGTTGTACTCGAAAACAGAAATTTGACAAAAAAAATTATCATTTTCTTTGTTTATAGCAGTTTTACTGCAGTTTAAACAATGGTTTTGATTGTTCTCGAATTTTGTCAATAGCATTTTTTGAGAAAACCATGCGATTTTTTGAATTTCGATTATTTTTTTAAGGAATTATAAACCAAAACAATCATAGAAAAATAAGTCTCATGTCGAAAAAAAATTAATGCATTAGAGGGTTAAGAAAATTACGTAAATATATTTTTTACTCCAGAGCTTTTAGAATCAAAAAATATTGTTTATTTGTTAACACACATTATTTATATTTTTCACATACACGTCTTTCAATTGTTGAAACAAATGATGTCTGTCTTTCGTTAACATCTTGAAATCGATAGGGGATAAATTTTAATACATAACGCGTTACGTTTTACGACTGAAGAAGTTAAAAAAATTGCGTCTGATATTGAGTAAATCGGAATCAACACTAAATTGTAAAACTCGGTATCTCCTACACAAATATTAAATATATATCGTAATTTTCTCCTAAAATATTGTACACCTACACATTTAAAGCAAGTATACGGAAATCAGGGACTAAATTTTGTTCAAGTTATATTTTGTTCTTAAAAATGAATATAAGCCTAATTTCGTTAATATGACAAAAGAGGAGATTTTGAAGGGGAATCATTGACATGCGCAAAAATGTTCCCTATTTGAATACCAAGAAATGGATAAAGTGCAGCAGATTTGTTCATATTTCAAAAAATTGAATTCATTAAAAAAATACATATAACATGAAAAAATTATATTTAAAATATATAAAATTCTCTCATTTCTAATCACACACTGAGTTCGTTATTGCGAAAGCAATGATTATAGAATTAGAGAATTAGAAGATACATAAACAATAAAGTAGTAGAAAAGTGGTGCACAAAAATCATGAGGATGGCAGTTCCCCAAGTGACGCAATACCAACATATATATATATATATTATATATATGAATGGGTTAGGATTAAAGTGAGCTGAAATTTTCATATAAAATAATCCTAGGGGGGAGACACAAACGATTAAACCATGATTCCAATATAAAAACACTAATCCTACTATTCCACCAATCCGTCATTTCATTGTCAAATGTGATGTCACATTTCGCCGGTATTCACTTTGTTGAAAACTTATTTATCGACACTGGAGTATGACATTTTTTTTTATTGATAATTGAAATTATTTTTTTCATCAATAAAATTTTGAGAAAGTGTATCTATTGTTTTGTAAATTTGTAATCGACTTTTGAACTAAAAAATATTTCAAAAAAGAACAAATTACTATTTCAAAAAAAGTTTAATGCCTTTATCAAATTCTGTACTATCGATTACAAAAACATTGAATCTAACCCATTTTCGCTATTCCATACATGGGATTAGTGAATCCATGTGAATCCAGCTACTGAATTCTCTATTCCACTTTAATTTCTCGAATTTTTACACTAAAAGTCTAATCCTATTCCACGTGTCTACCCCCTAGAAATAATCTCAATCATGAAATCATTTTCATTTTTTTTTCATTTCGAATTTCTTTTATTTAAATATAAATTAATTTTTTATTTACAAGCTAAAGGAACAATTGGTTACTTGTTTTATAATTTAATTTAGCTCTGCATTCATTGCTTTGAATTTTTCAGAGATCTACATTTGCTTATAATTAGTTTTGTGATTTGGTTGATTTTATTTTTTATTTAATTTCACTTAGAGGGAAAAGTTGAAAAAAAACCTCTATATTGCATTTTCTGTATTTTGTATGATCGAATATGTGGTGTATGTGGGTGAATGGATGATGAATGAAATTTAAATAAATAAATAAATAACCCAAACTAATCGTAGTGATTAGGTGGGAATTTAATAGAGATATAATTAAAACTAAGACGTTAGGTCCATTTCTAAATTCATCTACATATTGTTAGGAGGTTTCTATAGAAAATTGCATTATCGTTCAAGAATAATTTGTCTTCATTCTCCAGATATCTAATGTATGTTGGAGGTTTGCTACTGTCATAATTAATATTTCCCATGTAGTTTTCTTCATATCTTAAATATGCTTGATAGTCCTCATCAAGGTTTATTTTATCCAGAAATTTTGTTGTGTTTTTGATTAATTCCCCTTCAATGGGAATTACGTTACATTCATTGTAAACATCCTCGTTTTTGAAATATTTAACCGAGTCTGGTTTTCGATTTAACCCAGAGGATGCTCTCAATATATTTCTTTCTATTAATGCAATTCTGTTGATTTGATTTTTCGAAATTTGCATCCATATGAGTCGAAGCCTGATCATGCCCGTAGCCAACAACACCTCTAATGCGTATTCTGAGTACTAATTGACGTTTGTGACAATATGGCCGTCACGGTTTGGCAAAATCATAATGAATCGATTAAACTGCGTTAAACTGTTAAAATAAAACAGTAGAAATAAATAGATTTTAATTTTTTACATTTTTGAAAATAAAAAATCTTTTATTTTTTAATTTTGTGTGATTCACAATATTCAAAAATATTAAATCAATAAAAATAAATTGGTTGGCATAACCTCACTTTTGTGTCACAATCGTGATAATTATAAAAATATTTTCATTTTTTACATTTAAAAAAAAAATTGTTTGTTTTGTTTTGTAGTTTCAGGTAGTTTCGTGAGATTTACTGCACAATATTCAAAAATATTAAATTAATAAAAAATGAAGTGGTTGATATAACCTCACTTTCGTGAGAAAGAATCATTAAAATTTGGCATAAATTTTTACTTGCTATTTTTTTTAAACAAATTCGATATCATATCATTTCTGAAAGATTTTTACTGTTTCTTGAATTTATTGCCAATTCAATTTCTACCACACTCACGAAATTTTTGTTGATTTCCGTTTCGTTGTTCTCATGCAGGTTGTTCATATGGATGATCGCAAAATTGGTGAATTTTCCTTCCTCAAATGTATCGGCTATATATGTGTTCACTCTTTATGTTTTCAATCATCTCTAATGAGTTTATGTTTTCAATCATTATGTAAAAATAAATGACCAACTAAACTGAGATGACAATAAAAGAGCAACATGATTCATGTTGGTCTTTTATTTTCACTCTAAATATGTTGAACTTTTATTTTTACGCTGCGCACGGTGGTGTTTCATTTTCAAAGCAAATAAGTTCCCGTTTTATTGGAAGTCGTATCAAGTTGGTATTTTATTTACATTTTTATCATGTTGAATTTTTATTTATTCCAGCGGTCTTCCGTTTTTTTCATACAAGCCTTCCATGTAGATTATGAAAATCGCAAGAAAAAAATATTAATTTTTTTTCTTTGATTTATAAATACTACGCAATTTTCAGTATCACATGGGTCAATCAGAATGAAAAAAATCGAGTTCCTTATCATCTAAATCACGATTGGAATCCGCCTACTATTCAATAGGTGTCCTTTGGCTGCTACATGGGAAGTTTATATGAAACTTTCGGAGACTCGGTATAGAGCACAAAAAAGTTAAAAAAAATCAATGCTCGAACACAAGCAAATAGTCTATATCATCGGATGTGATCAGAACTAGGATCAGAATGTGAATATTTGCTTTCTTAGTCACACATATTTTGCTTGGTAAATCGTTTTCTTATGCTGTCTCGCTCACTCTTGCATGTATGAATGTTTACAATCGACATTCTATTCACACAGAACTCGCACTTATATTTTGCTGCGCAATAAAAATTGTCGACACAAAACTCAAAGCGATGACCAAAATACATTCATTGTCAACCATTTTTATTGCGCAGCAAAATATAAGTGCGAGTTGTATGTGAATAGAATGTCCGTTGTAAACATTCATACATGCTAGAGCAAGACAGCATTGGACAATTTGGGTGACAGAGATGACAAATTTTTACGTTCTGATCACACCACATGATATGGACCATTTAGTGGTGTTCGAGAATTGAGAAAAAAAATCAGATTTTTTTTTCACTTTTGTGCTTATAGTTTTGCGTTTTGCGATATCATAATAAATTTTTATTACGATGATATTGGGTGTATGCATTAAAAAAGGGAATTTTTTTGGTGAGAAGATACATTTATTTATAAACAACTGTACAATATTTTTTAACCAATGTATTGCCCATCGTTAGCTATGACTTCGGCCCATCTTCTTGGTAGCTTGTCGATTCCGCGATTTTGAGGCTATCCATTCATCGATCCATTTTCGCACTCCTTCAGGATTTCGAAACGATATCTCGGACAAACCCATTTGCATCGATCGAAACAAGTGGTAGTCAGAAGGAGCAAGGTCTGGAGAGTACGCGGGTTGATCAAGCCGATCCCAACCGAAGTCTTGTACTTTTTTTTAACGATGTCTGCTCGATGTGGCCTGGCATTATCCGTGGCCGTTCAATCTTCAATGCATGGTCCATTTTGATTAATTGCATGCGGTAGCGTTGGGCTGTAACCGTTTCACCTGGTTTTAGCAGCTCATAATACACGACACCTTTTTGATCTCACCAAATGCACAGCATGACCTTCTTGCAATGAATGTCTCGTTTTGACTGCGATGGTCCTGGTTGGCCTGGATCAACATACGCTCCTTTACGTTTGGGATTGTCGTAATAGACCCACTTTTCATCGCCCGTGACAATTCGACTCAAAAAACTATGTTTCTTGTGCTCGGCAAGATGCTGTTTGCATGCTGTGATTCGTGCTCTCAATTGATTTTCATTGATTTGATGTGGTACCCATTTTCCCAACTTTCGAATCTTTCCCATTGCATGTAGACGTCTAGAAATGGTTGCCTGGTCGACATTCAACGCCATTGCAAGTTCTTTCTGCGTTTGACATGGATCATCGTCCAATAATGCTTGCAAATCCTCATATTCCAACTTTTTTGGCTGACCTGGTCGTTCTTTGTCACGCACATCAAAATCACCACTTTTGAAGCGTTGAAACCAGTCGTAACATTTTGATTTTGCGAGAGCATGTTTGCCATAAGTTTCCATAAGCAAACGATGACTTTCAGCTGCAGTTTTCTTAGAAAAAAAGTGACCCAACAAAACTTCGCGCAAATGCTGGTTTTTGCGCCAATTTTCAAAATTTTCCATGGTTGTAAAAAAATATGCTGCGCACAAACAAATGAAACACTTTTATTAGGATTCATCTTGATAAATACCGTAAGCGAATACCAATAGGCGTCATTTGGCTATTGCAAGGCGAGTTTAAATGAAACTCTCGGAGACTCGGTAAAGCGCACAAAAAGTGAAAGAAAAGAACATTGTTTTTCTCAATTCTCGTACAACAGTGCATTTTTCATAAATTTTCGCACTTTTCAGCTGTACTCCACTTTCCCGTATACAGCGAGTCTTGTTCTTGCGTTTTTTATAGTTTTTATTGCTATACTATTAGTTTTTCTATTTTTAATATTTATTTTAATGATTTTTATTTGGCACGGTAAAAAAAATGCAGCCAGTCAAGTCAGCTGTCAAACATCAATGATCATATTGGTAGTGCAACTTAAAAATTTCGTTTTTTTTTTGGTAAAAATAAAACTTTATTTTATAAATTCTGTAAATAACATGTCATTCAAAGTATTGGCCATCAGAAGCTATAACCTTTTCCCATCTTTCTGGCAGCATATGGATTCCGCGCCAAAAGAACTGCTCATTTTTTGAGGTTAGGCAGTGTTTGCGAAATTTGTGAATTCATTATTTATTCTCAAAATATGTGTTTATATGTATGGGTGAGCCGTATTTGAACGAAGTGTGTGGACAGTGGCTACGAATTGTATGAGAACCGACCACGCACAGTGACGTACTCGCTATTTCTTTTATACACAGTAGAATTCGGCTGAATCATAGCGGTTTACATATGCATGAGCAGAAATAGCGAATATGTAGTTTTTAACCGGTTGAGCAATATGAGGCCGAGCGTTGTCATGATGGAAAATTATTGACTCATGTCCGGTTGCATATTCTGGCCGTTTTTTGTTCAAGGCTCTCTTTAAACGGATCAATTGTGTTCGATACAGGTCTCCCGTGATCGTTTCACCCGATTTTACCAGCTCATAATAGAGGACACCCTTCTGATTCCACCAAATACAGAGCATTACCTTAGCACAATGAATATCTTGCTTGGGCGTTGATTTTGCTCGTTTACCGCGCTTCCTATACAATTTCTTACGCTTCGGGTTTCATCATGAATCCATTTTTCATCACCAGTAACAATTCGATGCAAAAATGCTTCCTTTTGTGGCGCTCAAGCAGTATTTCGGACATGCAAAATCATCTTTCAACGTCTCTTGGTTTCAATTCATGTGGTATCCAATTTCCTTGCTTTTGAATGAATCCTAATGCTTTTAAATGTTTTGAAATGGCTTGGTGAGTTTTGAAATGGCTTTTGAACGCAATAAAAAACTTGTGTGTATAAACTTGTATTCACTTCGACAGATGGAATTTAATTTTTTTTTTTGACGCTCTTTAAGATACACTTGTTGTCACTGGCAAAAAAAATGGCGCGTTTGATACATTAGAAGTTGACACAAATAGGACATTTTTAAGTTGCACTACCAATAGTATACATTTCTCGTCATTCGAAACAATAATATTCGACTTGAGCGGAAAAGTTCGTCTTGTAGTGTAGAACTTTTTAAATCGACGATTCCATATGAAATTGATCAAACTCTGGAAGCATGGTAAAATTTTGTGCTCAAATTTTGTATATAGGTTGGCCCTCATGAGAAACTAAGATAGCCAAAATTTGGGACCCAACTTTTCACAAAGTCGTAAAAAATCAAGGAATCAATTTTCGAAAAAATGGTCAAAAATCGAAAAAATTGCATTTTTTCATTCAATATCATTTTGAAACTTTTATTTAAATACCCGGACATATGTATATCGTTGGAAAGGTAATCGATAGGGCTATCCGAGGGTGCCCCCTTTGATCCCTCTGCCCCCCAATGGGTAAAAAAATCGGTTTGAAATATTAAAAGTGAAAAATCGGCTTTATGCGTGGTTTTTTTTCTCGATTTTTTCGCTCTTTTTATTGGTCATTGGCCGATCGATAACCGATGTGAAATCACTTTGTGAAATCACGATGTGAAAGTCCATTCTGGGAGAAATTCTCGAAAAATTGGTCAAAACCCTTCCCCCATAGCAATTTTTACTTTGACCCGATTTTTTTGACCCAATAGGGGGCAGGGGACCTACGGAGGGCACCGTCGAATAGCCCCTTCAATTACCTTTCCAACGATATGTAAAATGATTATTTCGTTGTTATACGTATTCAAAAGGTAAGAGCGCACAATTTTACACAATTTTGAAGTGTTCTGGTTAAGTTGTTTTCATTTTAATGGAGCGTCGTATCACTAATAATAATTTAATGACGTCGAAAATTTTTGAATCCAAAATACTTACGTTCGAATTTAATTAAATGTACCAGAAAATGATAAAAAGTTGAAGTAAAGTGAGTTTAAATATGAAATATTACTTCAATAGAGCAGGAAAATCAAGAACAATAAGCTGCAGACATTTTGAAATGAAAATCATTTATAACAGGATGCTCAAGTTTTTTTTGTAAGCATGAAAATATTTTTTTTTTATGAGCGGTATCTCGGAATTGGTTTCGTTTTGTGTGAACGAAACGTAGTAATCGGAACGTTCCGAGAATGGTTTGTATGGTGAAGTATGTGTACGTGAATAGCAATGCACACTAATACACACACAGCCATTGTACGGTCGTGTGTATACTGCACAGTGTAAACCTTTTAAGAACGTTCCGCTTGCTTCAGTTCGTTCGGTAAGTGAACCAATGAAATGGTTTGTTTTTGGTTCACTTCACTGAGATAGACAAAAGATAGACATAGCTTCTGACCAGAGGTGCAAAGGGACCGATATTCCAGGATAAGATAATTTGTAAGTTATAAGAATAGTATCTAGATAAAATAAAAGTTGAAGTTATCTTACCAAGCCAAGCTCAATTCAAGCGAATGGAAATGTATATTTTTTTAATACTAAAATAGCAAAAATTTAAGAACTATAAATAAAGATACATCAGTAGATATTGTTCAAAACAAAAAAACTTATCCATTTATTTATCTAGTTTTGTATATAAAAATCCTTCCAGAAGGGGAAGCACAAAAATAACGGAAATAATGATCTTTTCAACTGCAATCTTCAAGTATGTCATTTACGGTGATATTTGTTTTACTAGTAGTCAAGTGTAGATAAAATTTAGTATCCATGCTATGAAGTTACACACAAAAAAGTAGTAATAGAGCATTTATTGGCACATGTCAATAGTACAGCGTTTAATTGACATTTGTCAGCATTTGCTCTCAGATGCTACTAAACACAGAGATCGGGACGCTTCACTTTGGACGCTCTGATAAACGAACCGATCGGTCAGATGTTTGTGACACCAACCAAATTGCCATAAGGCCAGCCGCTCCTTACAAAATGAATGTTGATAGAAGTGAGCAATTGCATCTGAAATGAATGAACCAAAATCGTCAGAGAAACAATAAAATTAATGAGCTAAAATTAATTAGAAGCGCTTATCAAAATTGCTTACAATAACCATCACTTTTGGTGGTTGTTTCGATCGCTTCGGAGCACAAGCATATTTACATATTGCGTCCAATGTAATTGTACCGATACAATTCTAGTGCTGGGAAGCGACCGAAGCGCTTATCAAAATTGCTTACAATAACCATCAATTTTGGTGGTTGTTCGATCGCGTTAATAACTATAGTTGACATTTATTTAAATCGCTTGACATTTGTAAAATGCGCTTCGATCGCTTCCCAGCACTAGAATTGTATCGCTACAATTGCATTGGACGCAATATGTAAATATGCTTGTGCCCCGAAGCGATCGAAACAACCACCAAAATTGATGGTTATTGAATTTTCGTGTGCTTTCAAATGTTGCAGCCCGTCATTTCTGATTGATTTTCTTCGATTTTCACTTGTTTCGCTTTCGATTTCGTTTTCATTTTTGATACACTGACACAATTTTCTTTTAAATTATCTCGCAGGACATGTGCAGTAATGGCTACCTACCAATCTGACTAAAATTCATACTACAATTAATGCCATTTGACAGCTGTCAAATGTGTTATGTATTAAATCTACTAGAGCACAATTCTTTTTGTTGAGAGCGTCTGATTTACAGGAATATATTTATGTTATTCAATTTATTTCCAGTTCACGTTAATTTTTATTGTTTCTCTGACGATTTTGGCGCATTCATTTCAGATTCAATTGCTCACTTTAGTCAACATTCATTTTGTAAGGAGCGGCTGGTCTTATGGCAATTTGGTTGGTGTCGCAAACTTCTGACAGGTTCGTTCATTGGAGCGTCCGAAGTGAAGCGTCCCGATCTCTGTGTTTAGTAGCATCTGAGAGCATTTATTGACAAATGTCAATTAAACGCTGTACTATTGACATGTGCCAATAAATGCTCTATTACTACTTTTTTGTGTGTACATACATTTGTATAGGCAAAAAAGTTAGAATCAGTACAAAAACAATCAACCATTTTTGTCTAAATATTGTGAAGCAAGCGTGTTAAACTTAATTAAATGAACTACATAAATTATTTGAAATATATATTCTAAATGAGATTATTTGCAACAAAATGGGAGATATTTATTCAAAAGATAAGTACAATAACAACTCAAGATAAAACATTAATGATGATTCTCGATATTTAGAAGAAATTGGTCTACAAAAAAAATTTCTAGTCAATCATCAATTCGAAGTGAATGGAGCCCTGACGATCTCTTAAACCTGAAACGATAAACAATATTTAATATTAAGTTCGTTTAAATTCAAATTTAATCATCAACATCAATCGAAATAGTTGACCTCCACGATAAACAATATTTTTAGCCCAAGCTATACATTCAACATTGATATTTTTGTTTCTTTGTGGTGATTCGAATTGTACCGAAATCAAAGGACTTAAATATCCTTCTTTATTTTTGTACGGGAAAAAATAATGAGGAAATCTACAATTATATACAAGATATAAATTATAATAAATGAATAAATAAATAAATAAATAATTATGTATTATAGAGTGTTTCCCATATCTATAATTAAAAAAATGGTATGTTTCAATTTAAAGAGCATAAAATTCTGTTTCAAATCGTAGCATTAATGTAAAGCACCGATTGATATTGACACTTTCCGAAGCAAAAAACTCTTTAAAGCAAAAATTGTCTAATATCTAAATATTGAATTGGTATTATTGATGTGAGCCGAGCCTTATGACATTTGATGATCATTTCATACCGAGAACACGCCGCTTCATTGATACCGAGAACACGTTCGGCGTTGTGAATAGCAAGTCAACAAATCAATCTTTCACTTTATTACGATTTAAACTACAGCAGTGTAAATTCCAATTTAACGCTTCAATTATTCTACGATTTTGCTAATAATTCATATTATTTTCGATATACGTGCATTTTGTATCGATTTGATCCGAATTTTTCAACACTTGACCAATCGATTGACAAATTGTTGAATTCAAGTCACCAGTGTGAATAAACTTAATCATTTTATTACCGTGAAAAATATGGTGACCGCACTAATTCCCGAAACATATTTCCCGAAATACATTTTCCCGAAATTGTAAAATAAGCCTTTTTCCCGAAAAGGATATTTTTCCGAAAGACAATTTCCCGAAAAAACTTTTTCCCGAATTTTTTTTCCCGAATTTTTTTTCCCGAGTTTTTTTCCGGAAGACATTTTGACAATTCTATACCAAATTGCTCAATTTTTTTAAAGTTCTTTAACTGTGGTTAAGATTTCTCATGAACTAAGTCTGATGAAGTTTTAGTCTGAAGAAGAGTGAACTTTTTCCGAATCTCAAATCAAATTCGGGAAATCAACTTTCGGGAAATTGTATTTTCGCGAATCATTTTCGGGAAAAAATTCGTTCGGGAAAAGCTATTATTTTTAATGATAAATCAAAATTGAAATACGTGCTTATTTCAAGCAGTTAATAAGTTCCTCTACAACTTATTGTGAAATTCATTTTTATTTCAAAGCACGTGGATACTACATGGATCAATAAGTTTTTAGAATCGGACACTAGATGGCGACACAAGTAAATATTCATCTCGTTTTTAGAAAGAGCCATCCTTCAAACCTCCAAATATGACATTTGAGCCAAATCCGTTCACTGACTCTATTACTGAGAAGTTACAGCACTTAATCGAACATAACCTCAAAATGTCCAAATTTTCCATTTCATCTCTTTATCTCAAGGAGTCGACTGAATTTTAAAACTATTTCTGCACCGGTGATAGATAAAGGTCCCACCAGTCCACACCAGAAATATGAAATGCATACGTTTTCTACTTCGTGAAATATTGCCATCATTTGTATGGCTTCCCGAGATGATTTTTGGTCACATTACTAAAGTGTACATTTTCTCAATAAAAACTGTATTTCCTTGATTCAAAAAGTTCAAAAACGACATGGATTATTCTTTTGGCATCGCTTCGTCCCATTCAAGATGATAAAGCAATATTTTGAACAATACACTTCCAAGGAATGCGAGCTAAAGCCAAAAATTCGATTTTTTTACCTTTTGAGGTTATGTCTATAATTGGTGACTGTCGCGACCATCCATTGTCTCATAATGTAAGTAAAACTACTTACTAAATGGATTCAAACAGACATCAGCGGTTACAAATAAATAAAAATATCAACTTGATTATTGCATAAAATCCTTGCGACATCGCTATAAAGTTGAAACTTGATTTCACTTTGGGCCAATTCGGAAACTCGTTGCGAGTGAATTTTTTTGCCCAAAGATTGGGAAAGTAATAAATTTACAAAACTATTCTACGAAATGCTTGGGATCTATTCCAGATTATTCACGCGAATAATGCAGTCTTTCATGGCGATATATTGGATTCATTCAAACATCTCTTCAAAAACTGCCATTTCGAGGCGTCCATTTTCTCCGTCTGTACGACCACATGTAAATTCAACAGACTACTTCTAAATGGCCCTAATCGATAGTAGAGAGTCCAAGCAATACCAGCTAGCTCAGTTTTGGTTTCGCTGATGGGTATAACAAACAAAAATTTATAGTTGTTCAATAAATGAATTTTTGATTTTTTTGCATTTCAAGAGTTGTAACTTCTGAGTCAGTGAACGCAGTACATAATTCTGTTGCGTGAAGTGGTGAAATTCATTTCAAGCGGTGATGCCCATTTTGAATTGGTTCCATTGTTCATAGAAGAGAAACAGTTATTGTTTGAGCTCAAATTGAATCTGAATACTCATAGTATGCGTTACATTGATTTCTTCTCTAAATCACTGCCATTGTTATCAATCCGAAGATTTTTGTCATTTCTGTGTGCTGCATCATTTTGTGTGTGTACCAAAGAAGGAGATAGATTCTTGTTCTGTTGTCGCTCGAAAAAAATGAATTTAAAACATGTGTGTGCGTGTGTGCATATTTGTGCAGGAGATTTATTAATTCGTAAATTTCTATAAAAAATCTCGATATTTTTGTGTCTCAGCCATGAAAAATCAAATTGCTTGGACTTCCAATACCTGCTGCAATCAACCGATATTGGAATCAAATCAACGCCGATGCCGCCGTGGACATATCCGAGCCAGAGTTCAAATAGCAGCCAACTAATCATCACAATACCTTACAATAAAATAAAATAAATCATAAGTAACATTTGTTACGTAACTGCTATCCCGAATATGTGGGTTAGTTATGCACAAAAAAAGTCATTTCCCATTTGGTTGAGATGGCTGTGCGGGAGTACAAACGGAGCGTTTTTCCATTGTAAGTATCATTAGATTTTGAAAACAGTTTTTTGCTTCGGGAAGTGCTAACATCAATCGCTTCGTTGTATAAATGCCATTAACTACCATAGAATTTTGCCTACTTTAAATTAATAATTACCATTTTTCTATTTACAGATATGGGAAACACCCTTGTATAATGAATTTTTACCCTCTAGGTGAAATTGAAATCTTTCCAATGGAATCTTTGTCACTTGGATTCTGTCCTTCACATGAAATAAACACTTGATTTTGCTGTTGAATAAAAAAAAAATATTTATAAAATATTATTGTCACCATAAAATATTATTGGTATACGTAATGCATCTTTTTCACCTCTTTCTCTTGCAGAGATTTGATATATAATTTAAGATCATTGGGCATATTTTCTGGAAGAGCTGTATCCCCAAAAAACGGTTCCGGTGTCCAATTGAAAATCTATTTATCAAATATGTGCATATAAAACATATTAAAGGTTCAAACGTTCTATAATATTTACGTTATTTTTACACACCCTATTTAATTTCAAGAATATACATGGCTGGGAACTGTTGTAACCGTATGAGTTTGCTGCGGTGCATTGTCCAAAATGACTAAGATTTACCCTGCACACCTATTCGGAAAATATTGTATTTATATAATCTTTGAATATTCCTATAATTTTTAAAGACACTATAGAAAAAAATCCTATAGAATTGCTATGAAGTTATTGAGTTTTTTATTTCTTTTCAAAGTACTTACTTTATCAGCTGAAGGCAAGTTTTCAAAATCGCAATTCACGGAATTTTCATGTGGATGGAGTGTTGCTTCCTCGTATGCTTTTTTAAAAATAAAATACCAGTCAACGAAGGAATAAAAAAATGTATTTATAAGAAAATTCAGTATTCGAGTAGAATTTCATTGCAAATGATATTGTAAAATAATTGAATCGGTTAGAATATGCATGAGCTAAAGAAATTTGTTGAAGGTAAAGAGCAACATGTTCATATAAAAAATGTATGGGCACGTTGCAGTATTATTTTGACAAATTTCTTGAGGTCACGAATATTCTAGCCGGTTCAATTGTGATACATTCAGTCTGTTATAAGATGGCGAAATGAAAAAATAAAAAAATGTATACTTACGATACAAAAATGAATCAATCAAATCGACATAATTTTTTATAGTTGATGCGTTTCTACTGTTTAACCAAACCAAAGAGCCCTGAGATATATTTAAAGGCATAGGTCTAAAGCCTATTATAATAGTTATAATATTAATATTGATTTATTATAATAAATGAAAGTGCTATCACCTAAACCAGGGTTATCACCTATTCGCGATTCATTCAATGTCCACTTAGGAACTTTTTTATCCAATGTCCATAAAAGACTTTGCATGCATATTGCAAATAACGCAGCGAGAATTATATAAAATATCGAGTAGAAAAGAAGAAGTTCACCTGTAATATTGAAATGTGCCGATGGAAATTAAAAAATGTACTTTGAAATTTTTAGCCAGATTTAGTTTTCTCTAAAATGTAGACGTATGATTATGTTGAAAAATAGCGGCTGGAAATAGCCACTAGATTGCGTCTGCGATATGCGTCTACTGCGTGCAACAACACTTCATTTTTTGCCATTTTCTATAATACAATCTGTTTACTGGTTTTAAAAATAAAATTTTCGGTCTTCTCATTTCAAAGTACACATCTGAATTTCCAATTGGGTAATCGATTAATATTATAAAATTAATATTTCCCTTTTCCAAGAAACATTCTGTAAAATGTTAACGTATTATTTGTTGGAATATAATCTAGGATACTTTGACAACTATTTTCATAGCAATCGAATAAAAACCAATTTTTTCGAAATATTATTCCAAAAGAATGGTTTCAAGCCGAAAAATCTAAAAAAATTGAACTAATTTCTCAAAACGGTTACCACCATTGAATTTCTCGGGTCCGAATTATGTAAAATCAGTTGTCAAAGTAAACAAACAAAG